TCGATCAACAGTCGATTCGCTTTGTCTACTGATACATTCTCCGGTCCAATAGATTTATCGTTGAAGAACCATTGAGCAGACGGTCGCGGTGATCCTTGCACAACCACTTTCAATGTGACATCTCGTCCACTCACTATTTCTTGCTGTTTGGGCAACTGTATGGTGATTATTGGTGCAGTAAGAACATCGAGCCGAACAGTTTCTTCTTGATTGCCATGTGGATTCTCGAGATGGCAAGTAATTGAGCCTCCATGTTGTTCTAGAACGACGTTTCGAATGGACAACTTCGCTTCGCCAGTCGTAGTATCGAACTGCGTTTGAACGCCTTCTTCCGCTGTCAGCTGTTTGCCATTGAGAAGCCAAGTGATCTTTGGTGTCGGATATCCACCGATCTGAGTCTTGAAGAAGGCTGTTTCACCTTGCTTTACTTTTTGTTCTATCGGCTTAACAACGAACACTGGTGATTCTACAATGACATATGTATAAAAGAACACGAAAAGTCAAGATGAAGGTGAGTGTGGGTGAGAGTATGGATGTGAGTGGAGGTAGGTATGTGGTTGAGTAGTAGTATGAATAAGGAGTGTGAATGTCGGTGTACTCTTTATCTAAATCTACACTTATATCTGCTGAGAAAAAAAGCCAAGTGTTGACTCAAATTTTTAGCTTATAGTACCATAGTAACTACTTTACTATGAGCTAAAAGTTTGAGTCAAAACTTGTTTTTTTTCTGAGAAAATACAGGAAAACAAATCAAATTTTCACTTCTATTTTTAATTGATTGAACTATAGTTCTGAAAATTTGCTCTATTCACATCATTATAGTGTCATTCGTCATGTTCGTTTTCATTTCTTATTATTTTCTTACATAACAACTGATACCAACAATAATCTTGATAATTAGTTCAGTATTTCAGGTTCAATTACTCTTCCGCAATAATTTACTTTTATTTAAAACAATTAATTTAAAAATATTCCAAAAGCATTAGCTTTCTTCTTCAGTGCATTTTAACAATAAAACTGTGTGATGTGTATGTGCACATTCCTCCCTTTTAGGAAATTTTCGTTCTTCTCCAGACGAAATCATAATTTTTGTTTAAAAAAAGATCTCAAACAGGAGAGAAAAGATTCGACACTTCACAATTTTCAACGAATTGGTATATGCAATTTTCAAAATTCAAAATATTTCCTGACATCCCCTCACTTTTTTTCTTCGTCCCATCTCTGAAAATATAAGAGAACAAAATGATAAGCGGACAATGTTTATATTTCTTTTATCTTTTTCTGATGTTACTAGTACGTAAGAAGAAACAAGACGATAATACTGGATGAGATGAGTTAAAGTTCATCTTCTTCCGTATCAGTAACATTAGAAAAAGATAAAAGAAATATAAACAATTGTAAACTTATCATTTTTTTCTCTTATATTTTGTGAAACACGATCTGAAAGGAGTGTTGAAGTGTATAGGGTAGAAATTTTGGACCCACTCCCTCCCCCCCCCCCCCCCCCCCCCCCCC